GGGATTGTGCAAGCGGATTTGGATGATTTGTAAGGTTCTGATGGAATTTGGAAAATTTTCAGGGATAAGGTCTAGGACAAATGGAATATTAAGGTCATGATGTAGGGTTTTGTTGGTTACATAGAACGGAGCATCAACTATTGTTCGGAGGACTTTGGACTGAAAGGATGGGATGCGTTTGATGTTGAAAATTTTGCTGTCCCCCAAAGTTCAAGTCCCTAAGTCCAAATAGGTTTCAAGATTGTCTTGTAGATTTCTTGTCAATTGAAAGTTGAGATTTTCTATTCATTAGTCAATTGGCTGTATCGTCTGTTAACTTCTTGTCTTTTAAGTATAGTATATGGATTCCACATTAGTCTTCAGTCTAAGAGAAAGCCAAGATACCGGACTGTGTCTGAAAAAGGAAGCTGGATGGAATTAAAGTGGACTGGTGGACAGGTGAAGGTAATGTGTTTGCATTTGGATTCGTTTACTTTGATGCACCATTTATTATTCCAGTGCTCAATCAGGGAGACGTGTCTTTGCAGACTTGAAGATGCTTTTTCGGGATCTGAGTTGGATGATAGGATGGCGGTGTCATCAGCAAATGTTGCCAGAAAGGTATCGGGATGGACAGGAATATCAGTGGTAAAAAGGATATAAAGGACAGATCCCAAGACGCTACCTTGAGGAACACCGGCTTCAACTGGGTAGGAATTGGAAAATTCTGTACTACAGCGGACTCAAAAGGTATGATCAGAGAGGTAGGAACAGAGGTTTAGGTACAAGGACTGGGGTAGATGGGTTTTCAGCTTGGAAAGAAGCCCGGTTTGCCATACCCTGTCAAAAGCTATGTCCAGAAATTCACCCTAGCAATATTACTTGCTTTCCAGAGCTATGGAAATACGATTGACCACTCGGAGTCAAAACGAAAATTCTATAAAAATTCTCGAAAAAGAGAATATTATTACAAAAATAATTTACAATTTGTTTAAAGTATTCTTTAGATATTTAAGAAATAAATTTTGTTTGATTATATTTTAGAATTACACTCTTTAATTAACATTGAGGAATACCGATGAGGTAATCAGTAAAGACAAATTGAAGCATATTTTATCATAGATCTGTTCATTTTGTAAAAAGTATTCGTTTTTATATCTATTCTGTAGCACAAAATGCACCCATGCCCTGAATAACATGAGTGATATATCTAGCTTAGAAGCTACAGAGACCTTATAAAATGAAATAAGGAACTACAAAAGTAGTAAATGTATGTGGAGATAGTCGTTTACTCTTATTTATATTAATCAAATAAAAAAAAATACATATTTATTATTTTAAAAATTTTTAATGTTTTAAAAATGTATTTATTTATCTTAAAAAAACAGTTGTTAGGTCTTCATAGGTTGAAAATCGAACAACCAAATAATAAATGATTCATTATAAGCGATCACGTGACACTTCATTTTTTTTTTTTCGTTATAGCTTCTTACATTTAAGCTCACTCTGCCAACTGAAAGCAATGGCCTTTGGATGGCAGACTTCATTTTTAATGAACTATTGATAAGAAGAGATTATGTAGTGAAAATTCAAGCCTCCAAACTTTGGTTAATTTTTGCACCTAAAATTACAATTTTTGAATTTGAGTCTGCCAGTAGATGGCAGCGGCGACTACATTTTTATTTAACTGCTAATATATAAGTATCATACAGCGAAGTTTCAAATCTCCTAACAATAGTCAATTTTTGCATCTAAAATTGCAATTTTTTAATTTGAGTCTGCCAGTAGATACCGCGGCCTAACATAAGCTGACTACTTTTTTATTTAACTGCTACTATATAAGTATCATATATCTTAGTTTCAAACTTCCTAACTTTAATAAATATTTAGACCTAAAATTACAATTTTTTAATTAGTCTGTCAGTATGTTGCCACAGCCTATCATAGGCAGACTGCAATTTTATTCAACTGTTAATATATAAGTATCATATAGCTTAGTTTCAAATCTCCTAACTCAAATAAATTTTTAAACCTAAAATAGCAGTTTTTAAATTAGAGTCTGCCAGTAGATTGCCATGGCCTAAAGAAGAGAGATCGAGTTAATTCTTCCTTTTATCACACACATTCATTGTAGTTATAATGTCAAGGCACTTAAGATTTGTAAATTTATTACTCTAAAGTTGCAATTTTTTAAATTAAGTCTGCCAATAGAAACCAGCGGCACAGATACGGCTTCATTGTAGAAAGATTCATCTATCAAAGTTTCATCTTGCATGTGATGAGGTCCATTTTCGGCAAATTTGGACCTCTTTGCATGGCCGCCATTTTTGAAAGCAGTGGCTTTGGAATGGCAGACAAAGCTCATTTTAATTAAAATTTGATACACTTTCATAATTTACATTCAAACCTTCGCCTGCGATGAGGTCCGTTTTTTGGGCCTGGCTCCAGGGCTGTATGATAATGACATCCTAATGTACCTCTCCTTTAATCCAGCTGATTCCACTGGATTATTTTTTATCAAACCCTCTCCTGGAAACCACACATCTCCCAAATTTCTCATTGTACTATTTCTACTCAGAAACAGTTCAATCATCTACGCTATCTACTTCCATACAAAATTAATCAATTCCTGGTTTTCCCCCACTTCAACTATGACTGTATGGTGAACGGTGGATTCTTGGGAGAAATCAAAGCCAAGCTTAAATGCCTAATGAATTGCTCAATACATTTTGTCTTAAGGATCACGAGAGATATGCATATTACCCAGTATTACAGAGTGGCTCTATCCTTCCTAACTTTCTATACTACATCATTAGAAGTCACCGACCCTCCTATATTCTTCAGAGCCTACAATTTAAATCCGCTATTCGATCCTGTCCCACTAGATTCCGTACTTCCAATCACTATCCTACTTCTCACTGAACTGCTGCATTTGACAAATCCTTTGTAATTCAAGCTGTCTCCTTTTGGAATTCTATCCTCCTGATATCCAACATGCACAATCAGTTTCCTCATTCAAATCTCTCCTTTTTAAGCACCTTCTCCTTTTCTAATCCGACTGATCACGAAATGTACATAACAGAACTTCTGAAGTTCCCCCAGAAACCATTTTGTTTACTTATGTTATTTTATTTTCCTAACTAGTTCTGCCATAAATAGTTACAAAAGTTGAACTTTGTCAACATCCTTGGATATTATTTAGATAATGATAATCCTTACCTCTATCAGAACATTTTCTTTACATGTCAGGATAATAATCCCAATCAGTTTGTATTTTTCTTTTGCTCGGTTAACATGGAGTGGGGTGATAAAAGAAAACCGAATAACTGTGATCACCTTACACAAAGTTGGAAAATGTAGGCCAGAGATTTTCAACACTTTGAAACCTTTAAGTATCAGCCGCAATACGTGTACCGCACTATAAATAGATATAATGAGACCCTATCTGTATGTGACATACCTCGACCAGGCTGTCCCTGTACTGTGAGAGCAGTGGCTGCTCCGAATCAGAAGTAATCCCATTCGAAAACAACAAATCATGTCTTGGGAAATGGGAATCTCTGTCATATCAATGTCTTGCATAATAAAAAGTGACCTTAGGATGGGTGCATTTCAAATAATGACAGGACAAAAGCTAAACACTTCCCTAAAAAAAATTTGAGTGGATAGATGCAAAGTGCTTCTTTGCCGTTACACCAATGGCCTTCATCGGAAGATTTTGCTTAGCGATTAGAAAATTTTTACAATTTAATCACCAAAATGATCGTTTGTACGCACACACCTCTAAAGAAGCCCAGGAAGTCATTGGGAGAATGGAAAGAGGTCATCATCCTTCCTCAGTGATGGTTTGGTGGAGAGTTTACTTTCATACCTCTGGTACCTGGAACATTGGTACCTCAAAGCTCCATTTTTGTGAAAAAGGAATTACAATAGCCGCTAAAAATTATCAGGACAATCTTTTGGAACTTGTTGTCATGCCTCTAAATGATACTCTATTTGTTGGAAGTCATTGGGTTTTCCAGCAGGAACATGGAGTGGGGTGATAAAAGAAAACCGAATAACTGTGATTGCCTTACACAAAGTTGGAAAATGTAGGCCAGAGATTTTCAACACAACTCACATGGCTAGGTCAACTCAACAGTGGCTGCAAAAGAACATTCCAGAGTTCATCTCTGCCTCGGATTAGCCCTAAGGAAGCCCTGCTCTCAACCCACTAGATTATCAGCTTTGGTCTGAACTGGAGAGGATGGCATGCCAGAGAGCACACCCTAACTTGGAAAGTCTCAAACAATCTCTGGTCTGAGCAGTTGCGCGTTTTCCTCAAGAACTGCTGCGTGATGCTATTGATGACTGGCCATGGAGATTAAATGCCTGTCTCAAGGTAAAAGGGGAACATTTTGAGTAATTTCTTTTTTTGTTTTACTCTCTATAGATATACATATTATTTTCTAATAGTTTTTGAAAAATTAATTTTTCTATTGAAATCTGTATACATTTCCTTGTAACAATATTTATGACAGTACTAGATATATTTAATTTATAGGTATCTGTATGATTTTTATTTTTGTAATTTTATTTTAATTAGAGATTATGTTGTAAATAATTAATCTGACCACATCTTTAATGTAAGCATTTTCTCTGTGTATATAATTTATTTTAAAGGGAAAACAGTCCCAGGATAATAAAAAATTTTTCATTTAGTTTTCCTAGACTTTTTCTTTTTATTATTTTGATATTGGATTTGATTATTGGATGAGTGGTGACTCGGTGCAAAGTTGGCTATTCGGGGAAGAAATTCACTATATCAGAATCTGTGGGTGGCACAGACTATGCTGGGTAGAATAGGTAAACAAGGATACATACACCATTCTAGGGATTTGAGACTGGAGGCTGCACAGAACCAAGATGAATGTCAGACATAGCTTCAGGCAGCCTTGGCCCCTCACAGGTAGTTAACACGCAAGTTCTTTGAAGCTAGACCAATTGACAAAATATCAGGAGGCAGGCCAAAGATGTCATGAATGGATAGTGTAGCTCAATTAGGAAGGAAGAGGGGAAAAAGGATGGATTCCATGAAAGCATTGACAAGGGATCATGACGGTTGGTATACTTGGGTGAAGGCACCTGCAAGGAGGCACGAAGGAGGAAGAAAAAGAAGAAGAATAAAATCAATATTTCTTTTTGCACTATCATTTTAATTTGAAAAAAGAAAGGAGAATTTAAAATTATAAATTAATTTTTGAATTGAATCCTTGAGAATGAAAACAAATTATATTATACAAATTATATATATATATATATATATATATATATATATATATATATATATATATATATATATATATATATATATATGCACATATATTCAGCGAATACAGTGAATAATTACCGTCAAATCCTCTCCAACTGGGCGCTGATTAATCAATGTGATACTTCCTCCTGAGCTGGAATCCTTGGATTTTCCTTTAGCGATATCCCGAAATTCTTCAGTATAATCCTAACATACACATATACATGCAAAGTAACAGGCCAAATACATAAATTCATGCAAAAATAAATAGATAAATTAAAACAATACAAGAATAATAAAAAATAATTTAAAGTAATCAGGAAAGTTATGAATCCAAAATTAAATTGTAATATTAATGATTGTTCTGAGAAAGAAAAAAAAAGTTGCTATGACAAAGAAACAAAAAAGAACATGAACATCCATTTATGATGTTTTATAATTATTATTTTTCTTTTTTATAATAAAATGGGGAAAAAAATAATGCATTACTTTATTATAAAAGCAGAAGTAATAATGGCAAAGGTGAACACTATGACAAGATGAAACATGCATAATTAAATCACAAGAACTGAATTATTACATTAAAACAGTAATCAACAAAGCTTAATTTTAAGCTAAAAAAAATATCATAAGATATGAGGAGAGGAGGGAAGAAAAATGAAGGAGCTACAAAAAAAAAAGCCACAAATGACAAATTCAGGTTATATCAAGCTGAAAACAACTGTGTCAGAAGTGAATAATTGAACTTTTATAATCTCAGAGTAGTTATAATCAATCCCTTTTATAATCTTGAGATGAAAATGAAGGGAAGAAGAGAATAAGTTGAATGCTGTATTTTACAATATTAATTACTAATCATAATTTATTATTATTGTGTTTTTGGATATCATTTAAAAATAAACAATTAATTATCAGTCAACACTAAATTTAGAAAGGAAAGCCATTAACCAAACAACATAACGTCAATATTGTTGACCTTTTTGCTAGACTGAAATGATTGTTAGACTGCTTAACAACTTTGATACTTGAGTCCTAACCCACATTCCATTATATCACCTATGAGGAGAAAAATTTTTCTAAATATTTGTTGGTAGAATACAAATGACCTACTTAAACAATGAGACTTAACATATTTTTATAGATATCAACATGATTGAAACTAATTTCACATAACATTCTTATTTTCACTTACAAGACTAGATAAGGTGAACACTATCAATTATCAATTAGAAAGATCAGACAGTTAACAAATCTTTTGCAGGTTCTTGAATCCTTATCATATTAATATTGCCATTCTCTTATTCTGTTAACTCCAACTGATCCTATTCAACATGTGAAGAAGCAAGTTCACTCTAGGACAACGAAGATACAAATATATAAAACCCTAATTAGGCCTGACCTCACATATTTGTCGAAATCTTTAGAATTATCTCTACTGAAATTAGAAACCAGTATTTTGAATAAGATTTTGGGGGCCTGTGTGTAACAACAGTGTTTGGAAATTCAGAAAAAATGCTGAGCTTGAGGATCTCTATGATGAAGACGTAAATATAATGAAGATTTGACAATTTAGGTGGGCAGGATAATGTACAGCTGAATGATAATGAAGTACCCAAAATGTTCCAAGAAGAAAGAATTTTCAAATTCAGGAAACTTGGAAGATCTAGCCTATATGTGGCAGATAATGCCCAGAAAATTATGGAGATTAGAAATTGGAGAGCAATTGTACAAAACATGGAAGACTGGTGACTCAACTGCATGATTCAGGGGGATATAATCTTAATGAGATGTAGCGTCATCGAAGGATAAATAGACCTAACTAGTACAATCATTTTACTATAAATAAAAAAATAGTAGTTAACAGAATGTTATTCTTGTTCTATCAATAAATTTTGAAGGTAGACGATATAATTTCTAAAATTTCTTTTCTTATATGAAACCTTTTTAAAGTGAAAATAATAATAATAACAAAAGGCTTAGCGAACCCGAAGGTTCGATGCCGACACCACAAATCGCTTATTACACACCTCCCTCCACCGTTCGCCATCCAAACCCAGTCCCTTCATATCGACTTTAATGCAATCTTCCCACCTTCGCTTCGGTCTACCCCTCAGACGCTTACCATTCGGCACCACAAATATTAACCTTTTAGAAATTCTCTCGTTACTAAGCCCAACAACTTTACAAGCCCATTTGATTCGCCAGGATGAAATTACCTCAATTATATTACCCGGATACAGCTCACGCAATTCGACATTGTGTAACCGTCTGAACTCTCCGGTTAACTCATCCTTCTTAAGGTCCGAATATTCTACGCAATACTTTATTTTCAAAAACCTTAAGACGCTGCTCATCCCTTAATGTAAGCGGCCAAGTTTCGCATCCATAAAGAACTGTAGGCAAGATAATTGTTTTATAGATTCTAATTTTTAAGTTCCGGGACAAGAGGCGCGAACTAAGTAGTTTTGTCACAGAAAAATAACAAGCATTTCCCGCCTTCAGTCTAACCTTAATCTCTTCTTCAATTTCGTTTTTTGTAGTTATCGTAGAACCTAGATACCTAAATTTCTCTACCTGTTCAAAAATATTACCATCTATATCGATATCACTAGTAGTATCACCATTTTTGCAGCTAACCATATATTTTGTTTTATCCACGTTTATTTCGAGTCCTAGTTCTTTACCGGCTTTCATTAACGTTGTCGTATTTAGTTTTATAGTTTCAACGTCTTCGCTTAACAGTACCAGATCATCAGCATAGCCCAGCATGGATGTTGTCTCGCCCAGATCCAACCCTCTCTCGGTTCACATTACCTCCCTAATGGCATGTTCTAATGCCAAATTGAACAGGACAGGCGAAAGAGAATCCCCCTGTTTTAAACCCGAACGAACCTCAAATTTTTCGGACAGATTATTACCGATTCTAACTTTATTGAGTGTCTCCATCAAGCACATCCTGACTAGATTTACTAGTTTTTTTGGAATCCCCTGCTCGATTAGAATATTATACAGTTTCTGGCGATCAATAGAATCGTAAGCCTTTTTAAAATCTATATACATTTTAAAGTGAAAAATTAAAAATAATATGTAAAGTTGTATATGTAATTTTTACAGTACACATATTATTTTTTACATTAAAAAATATAGTGTGTAGTGCTTTATGTTTCCACTTAAATGAATATTTAAGGAAGAGAGAGAAAGTAAAATAAATAAAACTGAAATGCCAAAAAAGGTTATGAGTGTAATATAAGACTGTAACCTCTTTGTATATTCAATAGTACAGAACTCCTACTCCTCGCGGAATGATCAAGCAATAGTGCCCTACCCACTGCTTGGGACTTCCCAGTCCTCCCTATCCCTATCAATGTCTACTGTCACCTTCTCGTGGTGCTCCCTGGGGAGTACGATGGGACTCGCGAACTACAGAGACGGGGATCCACACTTTTGCCCTCTAACTTAGATGACAGTTGTGTGGATCCTTCTATGACGCTCAAGCCATGGCTGAGTGGCAGGGGGTGCCTATAAAAATACACTGTCAATTTGACCCACTTATGGCACCTGGCACACTCCATTGTAATTAACCTTCTGCAGGGAGAGGGGGTAGTACCTGTAGCGACCTTTTCACCCCCCATACTCGTGGGAACAAAATGAACGAACCACAAAATTCAAACAAAAGGATAGACAATACTGACAAAGACGGCTATGGACCTAGAATTACTTTCGGAAATGGAATTATTGGAGAAGGAAGTGGCTGGGAGATACTAGGAGGAGCCATCGATGGAGATGAGAAAAATTCAAGAAACTCCACTGAGACTATCGCAGCTGAGGTTTCTAAGCTCTGTGTGATAACAGGTGGTTATGGGTGGGGTTGGTGGAACTGGTGTCCAGCAAAACCAAAGTTCTCTGGTGCACAGAGAAGAAACTATATAAGGATGAAGAGGCTCAAGGCTATGTCTGGGACTGAGCTACTGGTTACAGCAGCTCCGGCTGCTGTTGCACCGATTAGTGAGGAGCCCGGGCCGGGCCCTCGGCATCTGTGGCGAAGAGTGCCCCTACAGTGGCTCTCAGAAGCTAAGGAGAGAGGATGGAAAAAGAACAGGTGATTGCAGGACTGGATGCCAATTCACCACAGGATCTGGGGAAGCTCCAAGAACAACCGGAGAGGTGAGTCTGTTTTAGAATACCTAAGTATCTTCGACATGGAGATTCTAAATAGGGACAACGGTTACCACCTTTGTTAATAGAATCTGCTCAGAAGTAATAGACATAATATTAGGCAAGTGTTGCTTGAGTTCTAGGATAAGGGGATGGCATGTTTCTAATGAAGAATCATGCTCTGATCACCGTTATATCAGATTTGACCTATCTGGGTATAATGTGAATGAGTCTGTGTACAGAAACCCAAAACTTACAAATTGGGAGAGATACTGTACACAGCTAGTGAAAGAAGTCAAATGCTGTCCTAAGACTATTAGGAATACTTGGCATTTGGAATGGCTCAAATCCTCATTACATGAGGGAATTATGAGGTCTTACACTGAGAATAATAGTGTCAGTTGTGTCAGATCCAACAGGAATGTTTCCTGGAGGAACTATGAACTTGGCAAGTTAAGAGCCATAACTAGAAAACTCTTTAATGCCGCCAAGAACACGGGCAGATGGGATACTTATAAGCATGTCCTGAGTGAATATAATAAGGCTGTACGTCAGGCAAAAAGGGGGTATGGAGAAACTTTTGTAGTGATATTAATAAGACGTTAGCCACGTCCAGAGTCCATAAAATCCTCATGTTCTTGGCTATCAAATGCTGGAGGAGTATATAGTTAATCCAATTATGACTAGGCACATCTGTGGCAAAGATAAGTGGGTTAAAGCCAAAAGAATCGTGAATTCAAGGAGGATTGAATGGGCAATTAATTCTTTTGCACCGGTTAAATCAGCTGGTATTGATGGGATTTTCCCAGCCCTGGTACAAAAGGGCCTATCTGTAATTAAACCCTATCTCTTGGAGTTATTTAGGGGGAGTTTAGCACTAGCATATATACCTAATAAGTGGAGAAAAGCAAGAGACTGTTATATACCTAAGCCTGGAAAAAGAGTTTTATGACAATCCTAAAGCATATAGACCTATATGTCTGACCTCTTTTCTGTTGAAGGCATTGGAAAAGATTGTGGATAGACAAATTGGGGATACTACACTAGTAGAAAGACTGCTACACTGTGGCCAATCTGCCTATCAAGCTGGCAAATCTTGTGAGACAGCGTTGCACTATTTAGTCTCTAGAATAGCGAAAAGCTTATTGCAAAAAGAGATAATGGCGGGTATCTTCGTTGATATTGAAGGTGCCTTTGATCGTACCCCATATGATAGAATGACTAGGGCATTGGAAAGTAATGGGGTTGGAAACGTGGCTTTGGAATGGATTAATTCGGTTCTGAGGGGAAGAGTCCTTAAATCTGAGTTGGGATTATCTGTACTGTGGTTTAAACCTGTTGGAGGGTGTCTACAGGGGGGTGTGCTGTCTCCGCTTTTGTGATGTCTGGTTGTCGACTCCCTGATTGCTAAGTTGAATGAGGCAGGGTTCTACGCTCAGGGATATGCTGATGATATTGTGATATTGATTGGGGGTAAGTTTTCAGATATCATCTCTGAACTTCTCGAAAACGATATGAGACTTCTGAAGGAATGGTGCCAGGAAAATAAACCCGCACAAAACCATTGTTTAAATAGAATAACATTAAATATTTGTAGTGAAGTAAAACATCTTGGGATTACTTTAGATAGTAAGTTAAAATGGCTAATACATATTGAAAAGATTAGTGGTAAGGCTATACGCTGTCTATGGGCGTGTAAAAGAGTTGTTGGCAAATCATAGGGGCTGAAACCCAACATGGCCTTATGGCTATATAGAACTGCGATTAGACCTATAATCCTCTATGCAGCTGTGCTATGGTGGCATAGGACAGCTGCTGGCAGGACTAGAGTACTGCTTGGAAAGCTTCAAAGGCTTGCATGCCTTATGAAAACAGGAGCTATGAGCACTACTACCACTACTACAATGGAGGTTCTTTAGAATCTAACACCATTGCATTTAGAGGTGGAAGCACATGCTCTTAGAACTGCCTATAGGATGGATAAACTGGGAATGAGATCAAAATTCCTGACGTTTTAGGGCCATGGGATCGTTTTTGATAGGATTGATAGTAATGAGCTTGCAACTTTAAACTTGCAATAAGCTCTGACTTTCAAGTTGATAATCATAAAGACATATTATATAATCTGAATATAAGCAGGAGTAACTCACATCGACCATGTTATACAGTTAACTGTTATATTGATGGCTCCTTAATGGACTAGGGATCAGAGGCTGATATCTGGAGAAAGGATAAGCCTAACGAGGGAATATTCATATCTTTAGGTAGATATACATCTGTCTTTCAAGCCGAGATTTTAGCCATCGATTTCTTTGTCCCATCACTTATTAAGGAGGGCATTGTAAATAGATTGATAACAATATATACAGATAGTCAAGCGGCAATTGGGGCCCTGAATAGTTATGCAAGTCTCTCAATGTTGGTGGGTGAATGCAAAGGCAATCTTAATCTTCTACGTAGTACTAACAAGGTGAGAGTAGAATGGGTACCTGGGCACTCAGGAATTCCAGGAAATGAGAAAACCGATTACCTTGCTAGGAAAGGCTCTGCACAGGTGCCGATTGCAGCAGAGCCTATTTGTGGGATAAGCCTGGGCTTTGCCAAAAGATATATTAAGACAATTGTGGACAATAAATTTAAGCTACACTGGGCACAGACTAGGAAACAGATCCATTTTCAATTTGGTTGTAAGTAAAACCTCCACCTGCAGGCTATGTGACCTGGAGGATGAAACGGCCTATCACATTATTTGCAAATGTGATAATTTGGCTAGACTGCGATACTTTCACTTTGGATGTGATCGCATCACTGACCCCAAGCACTTTGAACTGATTGATCCTATCAGTATCAATAGGTTCGCGAAGGCATCTGACCTGTTTTAACTGAGTTTAGGAAAACGCACAAAAGGTCTTTTTGAGACCGCGGTGCATCCCCCTATGACAGAAAAAAAAAAACTTTTCAGATTTAATGTACATCAGGGTCGACTATTAGGTTTTGGGGCCACTTTTTCTGAACATAATGTCAGATTTAAGATAGTGCCAGCGGGCATCGAATTTTTGTAACTTTTCGGAATTAATCAACATCAGGGTGGACTTTTAGGTTTTGAGGGGCGCTTTTTATGAAAATAATGCCGGATTTGAGATAGTGCCCCGGGCACAGACTTTTAGTAACTTTGTACTAGACATCCCCCTGTGTTTACTCCTTTAGACGACACTGTGTGAGGGAATGAGACGGAATATATAATATATAGGAATGTGAGGTTGCACTGTGAATTGTACTCAATAATGCAGTGGACAAATTATTCATGGAAAGGTCTCATATCGATAAACAATCGATGAGGAGGGACACTGGAAAAAGGTCAGAGCAGGTAGCTGGGAACAGCTGGCGAAGAGGACAACAGTCACTTTAGGCCTGGACACGAACACCAGAAGACGTCATCTGGGAAGAGAGGCTTACTACATTGAAGACTAAGAATATCAAGCCAGCAGTTATTAGACTTTAATATATTCACGTATATCAGTTGTTAAAATAAATTGTTTTGTTAGACAGGAGTGAATAGTCCTTCTATTTAGTTGTCCTATAGACCTCACAATTGAAGAATAAACCAGGTGAGTCAATCCATTCAAAGTATTTACTAAGTCCCATATTTCATATATGTATTCTTATTGTTTCTTCTCACTTAGTTTCACAAAAAATATTAGAATCCTGAATTCCCAACGACAGTTAAACACCCTCAAAAAGTCTATATCCAGTGCCGGGGTTATGTTTTAATAATAATCACAAGTGTAAATAAACTTCCCCCGATAAAAGCGGAAGGCTATTCGCCTATTCCCGCCAAAACTAATTATTTAAAATTAACTTTTAACATGTTATTTACACTTTTTGGATTTAATCAATATCAGGGTCGACTATTAACTTTTGGAGGATTTGAGATAGTGCCCCCGCGTATTGACTTTTTGGAATTAATCGATATTAGGTTGTCTATCTAAAATCTGACATTATTTTCATAAAAAGTGCCTCCAAAACCTAATAGTCGACATTTTTGTCAATTAAATCCGAAAAGTTACATAAAGTCGCTGCCCAGTGGCACTATCTCAAATCTGACATTATTTTCATAAAAAGTGCTCCCGAAAACCTAATAGTCGACCCTGATGTCAATTAAATCCGAAAAGTTACAAAAAGGCGATGCCCATGGGCACTGTCTGAAATCCGACAGTATTTTCATAAAAAGCGCTCCCCAAAACATGATGGTTGATCTGATATTGACTAATGGGTGGTTAGGGGTGGTCAGGTCTATGGACGCTATTATTGAACGAATTAAAAGAAAACATCTATACACTTCTTAATAATGATCGAGTAGTTAAAAAATAAAAAGTACTCAGAGGAATTAAGCTGAGTACTTTCTGTAATTCAATATAACACCACAAGTACTTTCTGTACTTAACTAAATCACGATTAACGCTGAGTGAGTACTCTCAGTACTCGCCGATGTCAGGGCGAGTACAGAAGGTATTCCATACTTTTTCCTAATAAAAGTACTCAAATCATGAAGGTAATCGTGTACTGCTCATCTCTATGGCAAATTAATACTGGACTTTATTTTAAATTCAAACAGTGTTTAGTATAGTTAATTTTTAAATTGTCTTAGTGTTTTGATCTAATTGTCAGTAACCCATACCTGAGATAAAATAATTATAAAGTTTAGTTTAATAAATTAATACTCAACTCAGCCAGCTAGATATAGCTGCAGGTCCCAAGCCCTGGTATAGGAGGAGGGTCCCATTACAGTCTGAATGGGTGTATTCTTAGGAATGAAACACCGTCTCAGGTCAGTAGGGGTGGTATAACATCTTCCCCGTGTAGTAATGGGAGAGCTGATCTGAAAGGAGGCAATCCCTCCATCAGGCTTCAGGCACAATAGGCCCATAACTTACTTGCCCGAGACATATCTTATGAAACACACTAAAGAGTATAGAGCTGATCAGTTTTCAAGCTTCCATATTCCACAAAGACATATCCAGGTTCATAACAGAATGGAAAGCTATAAATGACAGATTATTATCTATCAAATTCTTATGGGACAACAAAATCTACATACTGCTTGCTGCCTATAGACCAAATAACAATGCACCCGCTGCAGAAAAAGACATGTTCTTTGAGACATTGCAAAGAGAAATAGACGATAGCGATGGAACCCCTATTATTATGGGAGACTTAAATGGCCGGATTGGTAATGACGACAACGTATGGCAGGGAACCTTAGGAAAAAATGGTGAAGAACATCTCAACGACTCAGGAGAATGAATCTTGAACCTATGTCTCGCAGCCTATGATCGTAGCAAATAGCATATTTCCACATAAAAGAATACATCAATATACAAGGGTAGAACCAGGGCGAAATGATAAATCAATAATAGATTACTTTCCCATACCAAGGGAAGAAATCAAAAATACAATAGACGTTAGGGTCAAGAGAGGCGCAGAAATTGGCATATTGGCATAATTATAGGCTATTGAGGATGGACATCAGTCTGAATAAAGTTTTGCTTAGGAAAGAAAATGAAAGGTACCAAAAAGAACAAAAGATAAATGCCTACAAATTGAAAAACGAAGAAATAGCAACTGCCTGTCAAAACATAATAGAAGAAAGGGTTCTTAGGGGAATAAACCCCTGGGACTCGGACAACGTCGATACAGCTTGGTCAGCTTTCAAGAAACTTCTGATGGACTCAGCAGAAATAGCTTGTGGAAAAATAAATAGCGGACAAAGACTAAAGAGAACCGCTTGGTGGAATGAAGAGGTCAAAGAGGAAGTCAACAGGAAGAAGATGCATTGGAAGCAATATCTAAAATCGAATTACCATAATGATTACGAAAAATACGTAACTCAAAGACAAAAAGTGAAAAACAAGGTCATAGAAGCCAAAAGGAAAACATGAGAAGATTTTGGAAGAAAGATAGAAGACAATTTCCCAGAAAATCAGAAGCTTTTCTACAGAATGTAGAAAGAAGAATGCTTCGAAACATGCGTAAAGAAAGAGAACCTGTTCTTAAGCGAATTAACGATAAAGAAGGAAAAATCCTAACAAGCAATGAAGGAATCATGCAGAGATGAGCTGAATACTTCAAGGAACTTTTGGACAAAAATACAGAAGATGAAAATCAAGAAGCTAGACGGTCAAACGTGATTGAGTCAGAAGAAGATATTATCAGTGAAGAAGAAATTATGGATGCTATAGTCTCACTGAAAACAGGAAGAGCAGCAGGAATAGATAGGATTGCCCCTGAAATGATCAAGCATATGAACCAAAAGGGGGTAGAAGTATTCTGCAATATATATATATATATATATATATATATATATATATATATATATATATATATATATATATATATATATATATATATATGCAATAATATATCAGAAGAGATAAGAACTAATCAAGGTATTAGGCAAGGGCACAGTCTCAGTCCTCTGCTAAAATAGCAAAACAAAATATGAGATCATATCAAATGGGATACAGAAATCTACAGCCAGTATTTTTCTCTCTGTTTGCTTATGCAGACGATTTCGTGGGTTTCTGAAGCAATTGACGAAACCTGTAATTCAACCTAGCATTCTTCAGGAAGAATTAAATAAGATAAATATACAAATAAATGTGGAAAAAAAAAAACTATAAGGATTGGCAGAAAACAACAAAGAGGGGACACAATAGTGCACTTGTGTGGAGTTCCATTGGAACAAGTGAAAATCACCGTTGATATAAAGTGACACTTTCAGTTAACTGATTTTATATACAAAAACCTTAAATACGCAATTTAAGTTTTGTGCGAGTTTTCGTTTTTGAGCTAGGCTGTTCACTTACACACAGACACAGACTAACAGACACACAGACCATTTTGCAGGACTTGGTTATTTGGACTTAGGGGACCTCAAAACGTGTATTTCCATTGAAAACTCAGATTCGAAAATTTTCGCGATAGCAATACTTTCCCTTTGTTATATATTACATACATAGATAAGCGAAAGTAAAAATACTAATATATTTTCTTATAGTTTTGAGGTTCAGCCAATAAATTAACAACTATTTTAGTGACTTTTGAAAAATTTAATTTTTCATAATAAATATGAGACGACAATTTGTATGATTATTTTTGTTGAGATGACTATTGACGTGAACCACTAGTCAAAAATTACGAATCACTCCATTCAACACTAAATAAATGGAGACTTGACAATCTACAATCGAAAAACCATAAATTTTTTAAAAATATAATAAAAAAATGAAATTATAAATAAGGCCATAACTTTATAGATAAATAAACTATATTTCAATGTAATTGTTTTTATTAAGAAATTGTTTGCTTTATATTTCTTGGAATTTCCAGCACGTTTTTCGCATATTTACTGCCGGTTTCTAGCGGTGACACTTGTTTCACTTTAACAAAATTGTATTTTTTCTAATTCTTAAAAATTGTGCTAATGAACATAAAATTATAAAAAAATGTGATTTATTTTTTCCTGTATTTCTTGCTTTGAAATATTCAATCTTCAATTGAAACCTCATTTATATATATATATATATATATATATATATATATATATATATATATATATATATATATATATATATATATTAAATTTAATTTTTTAATATATTACAGAAGAGATTTTATGATGAATAATGAACTTTCATTCTATTTTACTTCTGATTTATTTCACATTATTATTTACTTCAAATGACATCTATTTAATATTAATTTCATAGTAATGCATTTCTTTCATTGCCATATATATATCTTGGATTATATAGTTATTATCTGTTCCTCAACCTTTTTAAATATACAATGTACACAGATTTTTTTTTTTAATCATTCATGTCTTTAGTATAGGCAAAATTAAAATTAGCAAAAAAAGTAAGTATAATTTTTAAATGATTTCAAGATAAAAAAGAATATAACATATAATTATTATAATGTTCAATAATTATAATAGTAATATCAAGTAACACATTACTTGTAATATTTAGCTCTTCCACAATTTTTACTTTCACTTACGTATAAATGTAATATATATTAAGGGTAAGTATTACGATCGAGAAAATTTTTTTCCATATAACCTTCTTTTTAATATTGTTTTTGTAATATTTGCTTGAGGCATCGTATCAAATAAAAATGAGCAATTCCTCACTTTTTGTATAAATAATTCGGTGTTTTCCATATCTATATGAATACTACCACCAAATGACTTGAATTGTAATTTGTATCTATAATATTTGTCAAACATATCGCCAGCCTCGGCGCTATATCTGCAATATTTTTCAAACGTAACGCCAGCCCCGGCGCTATAGAATGTATCGCTGAGGTGTAATGCCCTATATGTGACTGTTATAGTGGAAAAGACAGTAATACAACTGTAGCGCTGTAGCGCTAAATAACGCCTTCTGCGTGAACATGCCGTTATAATCCTGGAATAATCCAAATAACTTGGGTATTAGCTCACTTTCCTCCCTACATTAGGTAGAGAATAACGTCGATGGATGACGATATTTCTGTAATTTGTATCAATTTATCGCTGGTCCCGGAGCTACAGCATGTATCGCTGAGGCGTAACGGTCTCTATATGACTGTTAAAGTAGAATAGATAGTAATACAACTATGCCGCTATATCGCTGCACTAAATATCGCTTTCTGTGTGTAAGAGCCTTAAGGAAACACAGAATAATTTTATATTTATTGACTCAAAACATAAAATTTCACCAACTATTTATTCTTGGAGTAAAATGAATGTAAATCAATAAAACTGTATAAGTAGTCAATATATTTTTTATTCAAATGGTCAGCCTATCCCAAATTATTCAATCAAAGTCAAATTATCCAAATTTGACACCCATCTCTCACAAATTTTTAATAAAAATTTATATGTATACATTAAGTATATCCACAAACAAGAAAAAAAATGCATATTTTAACCAATTCTAATTTCAATTCCAATTCTTGTTTCACAATCATGGTCATTTGAACTTTTGCGATAATTGAAGTTCAGAAATCAATTTGTGCTTAAAACTGGCTGGTATGTGTTTAGGCTTTCCTAGGTAAAAGCAATTTCAATTGAACTGGAGCTTTCAAAATTTATTCATTTGTTTATCATCAAATGATAAAATAATATTATTGGGCTTGTGAGTTAATAATAATAATAATAATAATAATAATAAAGGCTTTTATTATGCCTATGGCCCCACAAATAAACAAATTAGAATTAAATTAAAACCTTAATCAGATTAATATTAAGATTATTTTAACTATTTAATAAATCAAATTACCGAAAATGTGCCATTCAATTATTTTTCATATTTACAAATAATAATAAATAAATGGAACTAATCCATTTAAGAAATTCTCCTTGAGCTTGAACTAGGACTTTTCTCAGGTAGTATATGTCTAGACTTTCTCCAGGTGACCAGCCTAATGGGAAGACGAGTTCACAATCTGTATCCTCTTCTCTTTCCAGGCATCTCTGTATCTTGTCAATCTTCACAACTGTGGTCCAGCCATCTTCCTAAAGAAATCACTCCACCTTTTCATTTGTCTTCCTCTATGTCTTTTCTAACAATAGGGTGTCCAAACAGTCACCTTCATTGACCATCTTTTGTCAGTTCTTCTTAAAATGTGCCCAGCCCATTCCCATTTTTTCTTCTTGACATTGTGGATTATATCTTTCAGACCAGACAGTCTTCTATCTGAAAACACAACCCCTAATCTTCTTCTTTATGTTAGTTGGGCTTCTTTCCATTGATCTTTGCCAGATAATCAGTTTTCTTGTTGGGCTTTAGTCAAGGTCCAAGTTTGACTACCAAAGGTAACAGCAGGGAGTAGACAGGTATCAAAGATTTTTTTGTTTATCTCATTTTTAATTATTTTTTGAAAGACCAGTACTTCTCCCATTCTATTGATGTTTTTCAATCCATTTCCTTCCACGATTTTCTTACAAATGAGACCAACTGCCCAACTATCAAAATCTATAATCACCCACATAATCTATATGTTGATTTCCAACTTTGATATTCACCTTTTCAGCATTAGTCATTACCTTTGTTTTATCAAAGTTAGGTGAGAGCCCCCTCTCTACACATCTCCACCAATGCTTTTATGAACAGTATATAGAATCTTCTTGGTGCACTCCTCTCTTGACAGCAAAGTTTGGACCATTCCGTTTTGCAGTAATGAATGGTTTCCATATTCTTGTACAATTTCATAACTATACAAATATATATTTGGACTATATACAGATTACTATTGCTTGCAGAGCTTCACAGATACTTCTATGGAAAATGCTGTTGAACACTTTCTGCCAATCGACAAAACATAAATAAGTAGGAAACCTATATTCCTTCTTTTTGTTGGGAAGCTGTATGATATTCTCTGTTTTTATACAATGATAGCTTCTAAATATACAACAATTGATTTATTTATTGAATTTACATGTTAGCGTTTTGGGAAATTTACTCCCATCTTCAGAACTTATAATCCCATGTTTTCTTGTCGATCCATGGCTAAAAACGAGTTAGCTAAAAAAATAATGCATGTTACAATACATGTTAGAGTTGCCTTGTTACATTAATTTTGTAATTACCTTAAATCTGATGTGCTCCTTTGACATGTTTTAATTTATGTTATAGATAAATTATAGTATATAATATCCAGAGCATCAACATTCCAATAGACCAATAATTGGGTGACTACTATGGGGGATACTATTGACCTTTGGATGTGATTATTTGTTTTTTTACTATTGTTGTTAAATGATTATTTTTTATGTAGTCGTATTTCATTTTTACTATATTTTAATTTTATTTAATATATCAGCATAATTATATTGCCATTACAATGGGTGACTACTATGGGGGATACTATTGACCTTTGGATGTGATTATTTGTTTTTTTACTATTGTTGTTAAATGATTATTTTTAATATTAACTTATAGTATAATACATTAAATGTATAATACTATGATAGACTTACTGAGGGCGCTGTCTGATGAAGTTGAGGAGTTAAAGTCCAAACTTCAGGATTTAGACAAACTAAAGGAAATAAAAGAAACCCTCCTGAAACAATCGGAACTATCTTTCGAGAATATGGACCTGTTATTAAAAACTGAAACACTCCTAGAAGAGCAAAAAACCGATACTGAAAAATTAACTATGGAAAATAACAAGTTGAAAACAAAAATATCCGAATTGGAAAGTCGTCTGAATTCCAAAGAACAATTTCAACTGAAAAATACAATTGAAATTAGAGAAATTCCGGAGAAGCTGGGTGAAACTGTAACAGGCACCATCATTAGCGTCGGAAAGGGTCTGGGTGTCAAGTTAAGTCTGGACGATCTTGATCACGCCGTGAGAATCAAGCCAAGCAAGAAGGGACTCCAGGGCCAATTATTGTAAGATTCGTCAGACAAGCAGTGAGAGATAAACTAGTGCCTCAGCGAAGAACAAAGAGAGATTTCTCTACACGCCATTTAGGCCACGCCACTATTGCTGTATGGTATATGGGTGCATCTCTGGGGATCTTGAGGCGAAATTAAAACGTTTGATAAATTGCTTTGTACGATTCATCTTTGGGATCCCAAGGGACGCCTCTGTTTTCTGTTTTTATGCAGAGTTGAAGTTGCTTTATCCTTCCTACCATCGTAAGTATTTCCTGGTATCCTTCTTCTTTCAAGTAATCCAATCCCACCCACCGTCCTTCATACCTCTCCGAGCTCCTTCAATTCAAATCCTCTGTTCGTTTCTGGCCTTCTGATTTATACATAAGGGCCCACCTAAGCGCTGCTTTCGACAAATCGTTGATTATCCGATCCTCATCCCTATGGAACTCCATCCCTCCCAACATCCGTCAATCCAACACCCTTCCTACCTTTAAATCCCGCCTTTTCAATCATTTCTTATCCATCCAGTCCCCATAAAATTTTTAATTGTTACTACTGTAAATATGTATATAAATTATTAGATCATTCTTAATTATTTTTACTTCATGTTTATTTTAAATTTTTCATTATTAACTGATTTAAATCAGAAAGTAACTTATAATTTATTTTATTATTTTGACTATTTAATTACTCTATATTTTCATAATGCCCTTTCCAATGCTCCCGGTTCCAAACCAAAATGGAAAATACTTCGTAATCTATCCCTACCAGATTCCAATAAACACATTTCCCTCCCTGTGATTCCAGATGATCTTAAAGACCATTTCTTATCTTTTGCTTCTAATCCTTCTCCTACTCATGATATTGAACACCACAATTTCAACCCTGAAAACTTCATTTTTTCCAATGTGTCCTACTACGAAGTACTTTCCACTATCCTCAAATTCCACACCAATGATTATGGTCCTGACAATATTCCAGTAAAACTAATAAAATCCAGCCTTCCTACCCTTATTCCAGTACTTTATCATATCTACAACTTTTCATTGCAAAATTCCATATTTCTCTCTTTCTGGAAAACTGCACTAATCCGACCTTTGAGTAAAACATCTAACCCTTCCTCATAGAACGACTTCTGTCCTATTTCTCTTCTTTCCAACCTCTCAAAACCACTGGAACGCCTTGTACAAAATCAACTTTCCAACTTCCTAGAAGAACGTTCCCTCATCAATCCATTCCAATCTGGCTTCAACTATTCAACCGGCTATTCAACGCAATCTGCCCTCCTTAAAATAACCTTACTATCCTTATCCTTCTAGATTTTTCCAAAGCGTTTGATACAGTTGATCATAACATCCTTCTTACCAAATTGCAAAATCTTCCTCTATCCAACAGTGCGTTGGTTCAAATCCTTCCTTTTCGATCGATCCCAGTATGTAGTAGTTCTCTTATTTTATTTTTTTTTTTTTTACTATTTAATCAAACTATATTCTTGTTTATGTATCTCTGAGGCTCCTTAGCCCACATTTTTGTCTCTCTGTATTATTCTAAAGGGACTCGTCCCAGAATAAATAAAGCATTATTATTATTATTAAATTACAAAACAGACAGCAAACATTTGGGGACACATTATGCTGATATATTAAATAACATTAAAATATAGTAAAAATAAAATACAACTACATAACAAATAATCATTTAACAACAATAGTAAAAAAAGCAAATAATAGAATAGAATAGAAGAATCAACTTTATTCTGGGACAAAGTCCCTTAAGAATAACAATTTTGTACATAAAAATTAACATACCATCAGGTCAAAATACATATTAAAATAAAAAAATAACTAAAAACTAAGTAATAACAGAAGTATTTACATAACTATACAGATATATTAAAGAAATAATATGAGCAATATGGTCGCAATACTGCAAAATAGTTGCTAAAAACCATTAACTATGGAATACTAAATGAAATTTGAAATGAACGATAAATTACCTGTGTTGTCATACCATTGAAATAACGAAAAAAATAATAATAAAAGAGCAGATAAATATTTACGATAAATGATTTAATCTGTACCTTAATGTGTTCAAATGAATACAATAACAGTATTGTAAACATTATAAAAGTGTTATATAATCTATATCCTAAGCTTTAGATTGATCGGAGAAAACAAAAGATGATACACATATATAGGAGTGCATTCAATATTAGTAATCAATTAAATACAGCTCCAACACTTAGAATCTTATACATTGAAAAACTGACAAAAAAAACAATTCTTAGGGAATGTGACTGGACATCTTTTCCATACTCAAAAAAGAATATATATTTATATACAAATGACACATAGAGAAAAATGCAATTTTGTTACATGATAAATGGCTACCCAGCGTCTGATTGAATTGTAAGGAGAAATTGGAATAAGAGGTTTTACATGTGGATAGGGATGGGGTTGTGTCCTGGGCATGACGTTAAACTACATCCTGGGGGGACCTACCTCATAGCTGTAGTGAAGGCTATTTGTCTAGGAGAAGGCAACTCTAAAATCAAACCAAGGGTAGGTTGGACTCTTCAGCTGCGGTGAAAGCAACTAGCCTTGGGGAAGAAAACCCTGAAGACAAATGACCCGGTCCTCCAGATTGGGGGTTGAGCAACGACTCCTCCTCAGAAAAAAATTAATGTTCAGAAAACTGAGTTAAAAGGAAAGCCGGATGTTTCTAATGGTAAAAGACCTAAGCGCTCTCAACGGACTAAACTAAAATTGAAACAATGTGAAGTTACATTAGCCACATGGAATGTAAATACAATGTTGAGACCGGGCAAAATGAAAGAAATTAGATGAGTGAAAGTGGAAGAATTGATAAAAAGGAGTTCTCTATATTATACAGAGGTCCGGATAAGAAAAGTGGTCAAGCAGGAACAGGATTCTTTGTGAATAGTAAGTTGAGACATTCTATTCTTAATTTTGACCCATTATCTGACCGTTTATGTAAGCTAAGGGTCAAAGGTAGGTATAGAAATACATCTTTGTTTTCCGCATATGCCCCAACAGAAGATGCTGACAATGACATCAAAGAAAAATTTTATGATACCCTGGGAAGCAACATTGAAAAAGTGCCCAAATACGATGCAATTGTACTATTAGGAGACTTCAATGCCAAAATTGCGAGAGAAGAGGCCCTAAAAGAAGTCGCTGGAAGACACTCATT